TCTACACATATAGCCGCTAGACCTTGCCTAACTCTATCTACTCCGCATACCTTTTCCAATCCAATTTGGTGCTTAACACCTATGTAGGTACCTCTAGCGCCTCTAATCACGCGGAGAAAAAGCGGCCACTTAGTGCAGTAACCCAATTAAAATTATTCTGTTTGAAATTCTTGACCGAATTACTGACCTTTACATACTTCCTTTTTTAAAATCCATTTACAAAATTGTAGTGAACACGTATTTTGAAATGGAAACGATAAATAGACAGGTTACAAGGGTTAAATGTTGTGTGTTAATGATGTTTTTGCTTCCAGTAAGGAAAAGCGTTGCGCTTCTACATGCATAAATTCGTACAAACACGTAAAATTTAAATAGTCATTAATTCATACTTGAAAAAAGAATTAAGCATACATACATACATATATATGTACATACAAAAGTATGTAGGTACTTACAGATTACTATACACAAGAACCATTCATTTCGTTGCTCGAAATCATTTCATCTTTAATTTGCGTAAAAAATTTTGTTTTTTGTTTTTAATTTAATCACATACTTAATTTCTACCCTTTTCCTTTTCTGACTTTCGCTCTACATAAATAGATACGAGTACATACATATGTACCTACATATGCATGTATGTATATTAGGGTGCATTACTCTCCATACAAAAAAAGTCGATACTGGTTTCCATCGGAATTATAAAATTTATAATATGTATTTTGAGACTTCCGCCAAAATATTTCAGAAAAATATTTAGATTTACGTGAGCTAAACCGATATGAAAATACATCCAAAAATCGAATAGTTATTTTGTATACGTAAGTAAAATTAGTTATACATACGGTGACCATTCGTAACGATTTTGGCGGGACAATACCGATTTTGAAAAAATTGTCCCGCTGAATAGTTTTTAAAAGCCAGGACGTTTAAGTGTCCCGATTTTTAATATCTGTACCGATTATGTCCCGATTTTCATTGTTTTATTTATTAATTTAAAAAGGGCCTCCCTGTACTCTGACCCAAAAACGATTTTCCGTACAAACGTGGCAGCACATTCGTTATCACAAAGAACCTAGAATATAAGGGAGCCGTAAAAATAGCCAGCATCCCTCCCTACTTTCTATGCGCTTTGGTTATGTTCTATTCGGTTTTTTGTTAAGTTTTGTTTTTTTTTCATGAAACGATATTAATTTGAGTTTAGTGAAATACTAATTCTTTCAAAAAATTCACGGATATGAAAAATATAAGCTGTAGATACAGTAGATGGAAAATTAGTTCAGTGGGTAGACTACTGGCACTTAAAGCTGAAGTCGGTGGTTCGGGTCCCAGAGAACTCGATGAAGAAGTCTAATGAGGAGATGTGGTGATCTTCGAAATTGCAGCGGTAACTTCTACAAAAATGTTAATTATTGTTGTTTTTCCACAAAAAATGTCCATTGAAAACGTCCTCTAACTAAAAAAAAAAAATGTTCTAGTTTAGAAATTCAGATTTTTGGAGGTATCTTCAAATCTCGCGTCAATCTTTATATTTTTCCAAAATGTATTTCCTGAAGTCTTAGAACACAATATGTAATTTTATATTTCCGGTGAAAACCCGCAACATCTTTTTTTGTGGGGCCCCCTAATGTAGGTACGTATGCACATATTTTTCAATTGCTTCCACTCACCTCTGTCATTTGAATCGCCTTCTAAATTCTCCATTTTGTTGATTGCTATCAAATTGTCTTCTTCTTGTAAAACTTCTTTTGGATCCTTCATTTTTACGCATGGCCCCAAAGTAAATTCAATAAAAACGCCATTCGCTTACCGGCTGAGCCCATAAATTAGCTGTAACGTGCAAAAAGAGAAAGAATTAAAAACAATGTCATCAGGTTTTACTTAGTGTCAAGTAAGTTATTTTATAACCGAATTTATGATTTTATAAGCTCAATTAATTAGTGTTTATGATTATTTCTTTTTTTTTTTGTAACTTGCCTACAATAATAGCAATAACTTATCGAAATTGCAGCAATTTAATAGCAGGCTATAATAAAACGATAGCCCAAACTNGTCAAGTAAGTTATTTTATAACCGAATTTATGATTTTATAAGCTCAATTAATTAGTGTTTATGATTATTTCTTTTTTTTTTTAACTTGCCTACAATAATAGCAATAACTTATCGAAATTGCAGCAATTTAATAGCAGGCTATAATAAAACGATAGCCCAAACTCAATGATAGCTGTCCAGTTGTGTTGACAAGGTTACAGTTGCGGTTTATTTACTTCACATGTCGCCAATGGGCAGTGTGTAAACTTACCTATAAATTTATTTTGTTTCCATTTTCCCCTATTTCCAATTCCCTTAATTTAAATGACCTACAAAAATNCAGTGTGTAAACTTACCTATAAATTTATTTTGTTTCCATTTTCCCCTATTCCCAATTCCCTTAATTTAAATGACCTACAAAAAAAAGGAATTTTAAATTGCAGGCAATGTATAAATATGCATACATACATATATGTATGTATGTAAATGATATTGAGCGTCGAAAAACTCCACACGGTATCTGGAGAATAATTAATGGGATGGGTTCGTGAACGGTCTGCATTAAAGAAAGTGTGCAAAGTGGCCGCGGGTAGTTAGGATAAAAAACAAAAATTATAATAAACTATTTGCTGAATATTTATATCCCAGTCAATATTATTTTTAAATACCGGAGTTTTTGGATTTGTCCAGTCGGCAAAATGAGGCGCGCTTCGATGTTGTCACACAAATGCAATAATCTAGCGCTCCCAACGGCAAATGGCTTTAATCAAACGCCCTTTCATGGCAGAGGTGCCATCAGAAGTTCTTAAAAAACTAAAAGCTATCAAAAAGCCTCAAAAGCTTTCTTACATATCTTTCGCTTGACATCCATATTTTAATATTTCATTAAATCGAGTTAACGTTGAAAAAGGTGGCAACCCACTTCAAAATATCTTCGGCCGCCTTTTATCAACTGTTTCGTTAAAGTATTTAGCGTGGCAGTCATCTTGTAGCGTTTCATTGAACTTACTGATTAAATTTTAATTTTACTTTTAAGCAGGTGGCAACCCTATTTAATGATATTTTCGAACCAAGGTTTTTTTCAACCATCTTTTGTTTGACTTGACATTCATTTTATAGCTATTCATTCAACTTACTGATAAAATTTAATTTGACTTTGAAACAGGTGGCAACCCACTTTAATCATATTTTTGAACCAAAGGCTTTTTTAAACATCTTTTACTTGACTCGACATCAATTGGTATTGTTTAATTTAACTGAGTGATTAAATTTAATATAACTTTTCAACACGTGGCAGCCATTTTTATACATTTTTTTTTTTTCGAAATAAAACTTACTTATGTATATCTCTTTCGATTGACATCCATTATGTAATGCATTATTTAATTAAAACAAATGGGGTGGCTTTAAAACACAACATGTAACAATTATTTTTAAAATAAATAGTTTCAAAGTAAAAATTTCTTAAATCTCATTCGTTTGAATTTAGCTTTTGAAATAGGTGGTAATCCACTTAAAAATATTTTTGTAATACAGCTTTTTTAATCGCGTTAGTTTGACATCCATATTTTAAAACTTTGTTGAACTAAGAATTTAACCTATTCAACAGGTGGCAACCCTCTTCAAAAAATACCCCCTATGTTTGCGTCACACGAACTTTCAAATTTATGATATTAGTAGGATTTCATTAAACTTGTCAATTAAAATGATTTTAAATATCCAAACTGGCGGCAACCACCTTCGTCCAAAATTTTTTCGAGATAGATACAGTTTTCTTAAAACCTATTTCATATCAAATACACAATAAAATATTTGATTTAACTTATTAATTAAATTGATTTTTAATTTCTTAACTGGTCTTTGATTTTTCTTAAACCTCTGTCAGGACTATTAGTGTCGAATGTGGGCACCTTCATGCAAAATTGTCCTGGCACCCTCATAAGATCAAGCTTATTCTACTTTGCAACGCACTTCAGCCGCAAGTCCAAGGACTTTAGAGCTGATTGGTTGCATTGGCATTGCCACGCCACCTTACGCCATTTAATGAGTTATTCAACAAATACTGCATTTTTATAATTGCTATGGGAAGGGTATAGGAAGGCTAATTAAATACAGGGAAATACATACGTACCAGGGTTGTTGCGAATATTCGCATTCGCATTCGCAACTGCGGAACTTCCGCATTCATTTTAACATTCGCATTCGCTTCATCATAATCAATGCGGAGCTTTTGCGAATGCGAATGTTGTGCAAGTGCACCGATAAAACGTATATGTATGTGGCAAACAAAATGACAAATTGTAGCCAATATTTTTGCCTGTGGTTGTGGGAGTATTTGTGTAACAAAACTGGTCAAATGTCATATTTATCAACTTTGACAAAAATGTCGTTAAACATATTATTTCTTAAGATATATAACCGCGTTATAATGGGCAGTCATACAAGTTCCACACAGTCGTTTTAACAATTATTATTTTTTGTGCTTTAAATACCTGCATTGGTTTCTTTCTTTATTATGATTTTTTTTGGACCAATCTTAAAAAAAAACTACTGGGCACAAATTAAGAACGTGTGCACTGTTCATAGGGATATACATTGAATCCTTGGCTAAAAACTTCTGTGGTAAAACTGTCCCTTCTTTGCTATTTAAAGTCAAAGAGTAAGCTCCTTCAATAGGGATTTCCAGCAGAATCCGCGGATGTCTAAAATTCAACATTCGCAACATCCCTAATACGTACTTAACAAATTGTAAAGCATCGGATGTATTTTAGTATCGATGTTCATTTATCCGATGCATCGGAAGAGCGATGTATATCTATCATATTTACACCCCCAAAATTTGCATCTGGACTACTCTTGGACAAGCTCAGGCATTCTGGGACGGACTCTTTTGCCTGCGAAATGCTGACCTTATATATCGCTTGCCAGAAAAATTAACTATTGAATTTTAAAGTTAAAATTGCAATCAGTGATGGCAGTTAAGTCTCACATTGATTTTAACATCAGCAAGTAGTTCTTGTGAAAACTGCTTATCGTATATGATTTTAGAGGGGAAAAATTAATAAGTAGAAGAACAAGAATATCGAAGAAAAATAGTCATAAATTTTATTATTGCATTGATAAGCGAATACAAAGTGGCAATTTAGGAGTGGACAAAGAGGACATACATACATATGTACGTAGATACATAGATAGATATGTGTGTGTTCATTCCCATATTAACACATGCATAAGTGATTAGATGAAGTCACATTATTTATCAGCAATCATAAACATCCCTGCAGGAAATGTATCTAACTATAAGTTAACTTGAAGTTGAATAGGAAGGAATATTATCTGTATATTTTCTTTGAGGAAAGCGAACTATATTTTTATGGCGATGGCTGCATTAGTTGTCATCTAACTTGTCACTAACGATTGTAGTAAATAAATATTCATGGGACCATAGGTAGTCCTATATTCGAATTCCGTCAGACATGAAATCCAATTGATGGTATGAAATTTCGATCTTCATTTTAATAGTTCTAAATTGGAAAAACCATCTGTGAAGCGCAGAAAGAAAGTGTACTAAAAGTATATTTAAATAGAAACTTTTTTATAGAAAACAAACTCCTGATAACGTCTGCATGACTCCTGCTGTGTTTACAACTCACTTTAAGTTAGTTTGTCATACCTTATTAAAAGTGAGGTATTTATTAAAATCCCTGAAAGAAACTAACTACAAGTTGATTATTTTTTATCCATTGATAATTTTGTTCTGCATGGATAATGTATACATATGCACATTAGACTGCATCACTCCCCATACAAAAAAAAAAA